AAACTGGTTTTCCTTTCAGGAGCTTCAGGCCGAGAATGCGCCCTCCCCGCCGCCAGAGGGTTCGCCCACTTTTGACCTGCCCATCATGCCGTGCCGCCGTTCGAGACACCCGCCATAATGCTACCGTCGCCACCCTTCTCGACATGTTTGTGACAGCAAATCCGGAGAAAGGACGCACGGCCGAGGAGAAGGAGGACCTCAGTCGCAAATATAAGCCTGGCGACCAGGTCGTCCCTCGACACCATGTCGTTGAGACGCCTGGCGCTAGGCGCCTGGAAGAGGAGGACCGCAGGCTCATCGAGGAGGTGCGCGAGATGAGCCTCAGGGATGCTGGCGTCGACACGTCGTCCTCAGCATCAAGACACCACAGGCGAGGGGACAGTCGGGCGACCGAAAGCCACTCTGGCAGGAGTCGGGACCCCAGTCGGGAGAGCCATCATAGTCACCACAGCCACCGCCACGAAGGCACGCGGAGGCGACACGGAGACGAGGGCCGCTACAACAGCGATCAGCTCCAGCCCGAGTCGAGAGACAGGAGACGCCACCGGAGTGATTCCCGACACAGGGCGGAAGCCGTGTCGGAAATGCGCCGTCGTCAAGTCGAGCACCAGTCGTCTCTTCGATCCCTCCTCAGCTCGGACGACCTCAACGAGAGAGACTTTGAACGAGAGATTGAGGAGTTTGCGAGGCAGATTCAGGAGGAAGGCTTGCTTGATGGACTCGACTTGGACAACATCGATCTCAGCAGGAACGACGAGCTCAGTCGTAAAATCACAGAGGCCTACCGCAGGAGACAGCGTGAGCGGGAACGCGAACGACCGAGGCTGGAGCACAACAGGAGGAGCAACGCCAGCGTAGCTTCTCGTCAGTCTTCCGACCCGACGCAGGAAAGCACCCATTCGACCGCGCCATCAGCGTCAACGCCGGCCTTAGGATCCACGTCAGCATCGGACCCGAGGCGACCTGGCAGTAGGCAACGACCGCATTCTCGCTCTGCAAGCGCGACCGGATACCCGGACGATCGGAGCCGGCCTCCGCCAGCCTTCAATCCGAGCCATCTTGATGTCCGTTCCGACAGACGACGAAGGAGGAATTCTAGTGGTGGTCGCAGTGCAACCACACCTTTGCCTGGTACCCAACCAGAGGCCAGGCCGACGACCCGCTCCCAGACTGACCTATCGCTACCGACACGTAGCAGTGAGCCAGCGACTCCGAGGAGTGCCTTCACCGAAGGAAGGAGCGCCAGCACGCCATCTGTCCCTATCGTCGCCCCGGTCCAGACGCACTCACCGACAGTGGTTCAGTCCGGGTTTCGCGACCAGTCCTTTGCCAACCGGGTCACTGACGCTTCGAACTCGTCGGCGACATCGAGCAACTTTTCTTCACAGCCATCTGGCACCATGCATCGACCCAACAAGCCATCCGATCTCGCGGTTCTCAGCCAGGCCACGTCGATGTCGATCCCCTCTGGTGCTAACAGCCCTACGTCACCGAGCCACCACCAGCGACCGCGCACGCAGCTGTACCCAGAACCGTCCATCGCCTGCTGCAGGTGCTCGAAGCAGCATATTGAGTACGAGATTCACTACAACTGCAGCATCTGCTCCAGCGGCAACTGGAACCTGTGCCTCGACTGCTACCGCAGTGGCAAGGGCTGCCAGCACTGGTTTGGATTTGGGTATGGCGCCTGGAACAAGTGGGAGAAGGCTCGCCAAGCTGGTCGCAAGGAGCTTGCGCAGCCGCACATGCTCACGGCGAACCGGTATCTGCCTCCAAAGATAACGCCCGGAGGCGCCGAAGGCCGCCGCACCCTCACGACCGACGACCCCCTGAAGCGGCTCGAGAGCGGCAACTTCTGCGCGCGCTGCCTCGCATGGGCCAACGAGTGTTATTGGCGCTGTGACCACTGCAACCAAGGCGACTGGGGGTTCTGTAATGACTGCGTCAACCAAGGCTCGTCGTGCACGCATCCATTGCTGCCCCTGACATACCAGCCACCTTCGTCCCACACGCCACCTGCCAGCCCGCGCTCACCACAGCCGCCTCACTACGCCAGTGTGCTCACTGGCCCCAACGTATCCAGCATTGGACCCTTTAAGCCGCTCGTCTTCCGCACGAGATGCGACGTATGCCAGGACCCTATAGCCCCGACGCAGAGCCGTCTCCACTGCTTCAGCTGCACTAGCTCCATTGAGCCGGACACGAAGCCTGGTGATTACGACGTGTGTCAGGCCTGCTACTCGGCGCAGGTATCTCGCGGCCAAATCAGCGTCGAGAACGGCCCGGCAGGTTGGCGAAGGTGTCCACAAGGCCACAGGATGGTCGTCGTGGGCTTTCTCGAGGGCCATGGCGGGCAGTATCGGCACGTGGTACAAGACCTCGTCGGCGGGAGAAAGCTGGCCGTTGCGCTTGCGGGCGAGGGCCAGGAGGCGCGCGGCTTGCAGAGATGGAGCTGGCTCGACGGTGACCGCAAGCTCGAGAGGCTTGTGACGATGAACGTGACGGCGTCGGCACCAGAGGGCGAGTCCGCGGCCGGATCCCCTCCTGACGGGGGCGTTGGGTGGGCGGCTGTCGCGTCATGGGCCTGGTTCCCCAAGGCAGAGGCAGAGGATGAACTGATGTTTCCGAGGGGTGCCGAAGTCAGGGAGATTGAGGACGTCAACGGCGACTGGTTCTTCGGGGTGTACATGGGTGCCAAGGGGCTGTTTCCGGCACCCTATGTGAAGAGGTTTGAGGGATAGGCTGCATTGATGTCATTGCGGGGTTGTTGGAAGCATGCGTTCTGTTTGACGGCGGACATGTCGAGGGTCCATATTTGCAGGCTGTTATGAGCCAGATTGAATGAGAAATGAAAATGCTATACTTCCTCGAACGAGGGGTGAAGATGTCGCCAAGTCAACATTAGCAGGGTCACGAGACAGGCCGTGATGTCAGCTTCAAAGGCATGTGTGATAAGTTCTATTTAGGCCATATTTTTGGGCACGACTGATGTAGGTATATGGATGCATGATGTACAATGCGGCCAGGTCCCGTGGCCAACTTCCCAAGATCGTCACCGTTGTTACGCGCATCGTACTCCAGACGTATTGCTCAGCCTACATCAAGGTCAGCTTGTCGTCCTGAATCGGGTCGGTCTGCGGCTGGCTAACGCTTCTTGCAGATCTGGGTCACGCCGAACGTGTCCCTGATGAGGAGAGGGCCCAAGTACGACTCGGGAACTAGAGCAACACAGATTAGTTTGGGTTCCAAGAAGAGAATAGGAAGAAAAAGAAAGAAGAGCAAAAAAACCCAAAAGAAAAAAAAATGGGCAGAGGCGTACCGAGGATCTGGTGGGAGAAGCTGCTGCAGAGAAAGCCCCAGTTGCCGTCGTCGGGGCAGTTTTTGAACTGGGGCTCGCGGCGGGCGTCCATGGTGGTGGGCTGGTAGTTCCACTCGCAGAAGCCGTGCGAGGCCATGCAGGTGACGCCGAGGGAGCCGACGTCAAACTCGGGCTCGCGGCCGGCGCAGTCCTCGACGCGGAAGACCTGGTCGAGCGTGGCCCAGCCCTCCTCGACAATGGTGCGGGTGAGGGCGACGTGCGTGTTGCGCGTGTCGCGCGGGTTGTGGAACGAGTAGGTGCTGCCCTGGCCGTCGAGCCACCACTGGTTGCAGAAGCCGCCGTTGC